CCCCAAAACCCCAAAACCCCAAAACCCCAAAACCCCAAAACCCCTCATTACAAAATATTATTAAATAAAAATTTCATAAATGTCCAGCAGAAGGTACCTTCCCTCGTCTCCATTCTCTCTGACACATCCTAGACTCGAAAATTTCTCAGAAGACGAACTAGAGGACACTAGACCTCTCAAAAAGCCTATCTTCAACCCCCTCGGGACCCCTAACAAAAATATGGAATGTTCGTTCTCCCTTAACCCCATAGCTTCCATTGAAAAATAACAAAATCTCCACTATCTCCCAAGAAAACGACTCTCCTACCAAAAACAGCCGTATCAAAGGTACCTCCTCCCTCACCTCTAGTCTCAATTTCCCCCAAACGCGACCAGAATTCCCACCCAAAAACCCGGAACTACACTTCAGCGAAACATTCTTCGCCTACAAAATCCCCTTCGTGCCCACACAAAAATCCTAAAATTCCAATTACTATTTCTAAAGTCCACTTGGAGCTACCTCCAATGGCTCTACAGAAGAACCAGACTTCTGGTTCTTCTGTTGTGAGTAAATAAAACTTTCAAGTCTGTTCCTAGGCAGAGCACTTCGCGGTCTGCACAGTAAGAGACCTAGACTTATTATGTAGAAGGAACGGAGCTTCAGCTGTAGCACGAGTAGTTTCACAAGGCTTCAAAGATCACCCACAGAAGGGGTATAAGCATATTTTTGTGATTTATAGAGGCCTCAAGGGGAACTTAGAAATATCTGGTCCTCCTGGTGAGTTTGAAGAGTAGTTAATGGAAAATTTGTGACTTTTGAGTGGCTTTATGAGAGATTTAGATGCAAAATCGGTACATCCAGAGATGTACTCAAAATCAGGCAGGAAAATCATTGATTATGACTGGAAATATGGCATGAAACATATTCCTGTGTGGACTACAAACCAGCTCATGAAGGATAAGTATGCACATAAGGAAGATCTCGATGAGAGGTTCATGACAAAGCAGATAGATATCAATCAGTACCATACAGAGATACAAGATCAAATTATTCATATAGAGCCAACTGGTCTTGAAGCGGAATGTATTAGAAATACAGAGAATATTATCCAACCAGAACGAGACTTTAGAGGTAAGTTGGCTATCCTGGGCACGAGTATTTCATAACCAGTGTTGACTGAATAGTCTCTATTGAGTCAGAAATTGTCATTTCCGCTTCCAATAAGGATGAAGTAAAACAAAATACTGATCTTAATGACAACTGTGAAGAATTTTCGAAAAATCATGAGCCTGCCGTGATACAAGATTCTGATCCATCAAGAATAAAGTAAGTTTGATCTTTAATGTCCAATACACACTATCATCATATAAAATCTATCTAGACCAGGGGAGATTTTTAACCAGGAAAAACACATTAGCGAGTCACTTTTCAATCAAATTCAACCAGATTGTAAAGAGAATCTTATTAAAGTTGAGCATGTCCAAAGTATTACCGACAAGAAAGGTCCGAGGGACACTAGCGTAGGCTTGTGTAAACCTTATAGAGCACAAAGAGTTATAAAGCTCCTATCAACGCTAAGACGAATGTTAAAGAGATTATTAATAACTATCGTTCGATGAACACTCAATATAATGGAGACTTGAATTCAAAATTGAAATCTCAGCAATTTTCCTTAGATGAGATGTCTAAAGAGGAGAATCAGTTAGGATCCTCAGGGGCTAAAAGAAGTCGACAGCCAGAACGGAAGAACTCGCCAACTAATCAGACACATACCACAGAGAGCATTTTCACAAATATTAAAGGCCGGATCGAAATAGTTCCTCAAAGAAGGAGAAAACGGTACCCAAAATCTTCAGAAATTGGGTCTAAGAAGCGCCTTTTCAAACGTTCGTTGAATAAGATTACCTACAGACGTCCAGTAAATACTAAATGATGATGTTATAGTCTAATATAGAGCAAAGAAGGTCGTTGAAAAACGTTGAAGCTGGAGGTTTTGTCGCCCAGCCACAGTCATACCATAGAAGTCCTGCTCATAATCCTTCACCGATGCTCACAAAGCCTTTCATGCCAAGCAATGGGAACAATACAGAGATTGTGAGCCTTTCGAATAACTTCCTTATTACCGATTCAGGTAGGATTACCTAACAAATTTTAGATTTTATGAAAGAAAAGTATCACCCTGAGATTTATAAGCAATTAATGACACAGACACAGGCTCTTAATAAGATGAACCACATACCAATAAGCCAAAGTAATTCTGGATGACTAATCTGAATATTCTGGTACCTGATAGCACTCATAAACGCTATGGTGCTAGTGATTTAGCTAAACATTTGTTAAATTATGGATATAGATATGACCCGAGTTCATCATTCTTCAATCTCGTCACAGCCCAAGATAGAAACTCTGGGGATCTCTAAGCCAAAAGTATTCATCTCTGACCATGAGAGGCCTATATCTACAGAGAAAAATCAGAAAATTTGAAAGGTATGAAGTATTTTGAGAGGTTCTAAATCAAACTTAAGCTGCTGCTAAACCTTTTCTATTTACTCTAACCTGGTATCTCAAACCCTAAAAAATGGTTTCTCTTGACCTCTGCTCACCTCCTTCTAGATAAACCTTCCGAACGGTACCAAGATACGGTTTGCTCATCATCGTATTTAAAAACCCTCAAACAAAAATCAGGTACAAGTTCAAATGATTGCTTGAGCAGATTATTGAGGAGAGACCCAACATTACTCTCTTCATGACTCCTGATCTTAAATAAAATTGGTGAATATGAAACCCAGATGGAGAAAATAAGGAGGTATCTCTTTAGTCAAGCATCTTATAGGAAACAGAAGAATCATCAGAAGGGTCAATCTGTTAAGGCCATGCGGGATATGACCATGGGTCCCAAGCCTATTTTAATCCAGAGGAAGGACAACAGGAATGAGCGTACTAAATCCAAATTTTCAAGGTGAAATTCTGAGCTCTCAGCAGAGCTTAATCCTGCTCCGAAGTATCCTGCTGATAAGAATCCTCTTTACTCCATTGTGCTTAATAGATATGGGAAAGAGATCAAATCCATAGAGGAGATTAGCTTCAGAGAGTTCTATGTTATCTTAGTGCAAGCCTCAACGTTCAACATTCAATGTAAGAAATTGGAAACATCCATAATGGCTATAGGTAACCAAAGTACACCTTTAAAAGAGATACAAGTCCCAGCCGATTCAGTTTCAGAGCTCTTAGATGTGAAGGTTTTGGAGGACCAGCGGGTTCTCTCAGATTCTGTCTCTGGCGAGCAAGCCATTGTGAAGACAATCTCTAGCAACAAAGGCTCAGAAAGCAAGATTGAGTATAAAGCTCTCTTACCTCAATACAAAGAATTTTACTCTGAAAGTGAATTTAATAGGACAAAAGATTCCAATGTTGATGTTTCACTTAAAATTAAAGAAGTAACAGAATCTGAAGAGCCTAAAAAGGAAGAAAAATTACAGAATGAAGTTAAGCATGAAATCTTGAAGATCAAAGAACTTCCCTTTCAAAGTCAAACTGCACAGAGGATTATTGTAAATAGAAAACGTAGAGTCAGAACTCAAAATAAGGCCAGAGCTAATCGTAATACTTTGTATACAAGATATAACAAAGATCTCTCGTTCAAATGAAGTCCAATGAGTCCATCTAAAATTTCAGAAACTAGGAGACTTCTTAACTCAACCAAGGTATGAAAGAACTCCTTTAATGTATAGAGAAGAGATATAGGCAAAGCAGGCCAGCAAGCTGGCCTCTCTTGTCTTCTTCCCAGCACTGTTAAAAAGAGATCCCTGATTCTCTGTGGAATTCATCCTGGGAAAGATGCGGTCAATTTTAAGAACAAGATAAAAGATTTCAGCAAAGCTTTTAAATAACTTAGTTCAACTAAGAAATTCTAACTAGGGGTTTTGGGGTTTTGGGGTTTTGGGGTTTTGGGG